TCATCCTATATATTGTTGTTGAGATTGTGAAAGGAAAGTAATTAAATATGAGTTGTAAATCAGAATAGGAAAAGGTAAAAAAAAATGAAAACCCTTTGTATCAAGAAAGTTCAATAAATGTTTTAAATGTTGTGGTTTGAAATCCGATAAATTATTTAAAGTTTTTGATCTTGTGAGAATTATTTTAAACGAAAATAATTAAATTTCTTTGTTTGAAGTTTCGCAGGAAAGAAAATAAAATAAACAATTTACTGAGATTTAATCTTTTAATCAAAATTTATTCATTAAAAATTAAATTATGATAAGCTAAATAAGTAATTTACTTTGGAATTCTATAAAAAAAATTTAAATAAATTATTTTGGCAAAAAAATTAAATGAAAATAGGACTTAAAATTCATTCTATTTCGTGAGATAACAAATATGAATTATTTTTTAAATCTTCGAATTTTGTAATCACTCAAAACCTATAAAAATGAGAAAACCAGGAGAGGTGTTGGTTTGTTGAGTCACATGAGTGCCGTGCATTAACATTCTATATATTTGTCATATTCATTTATATAATCCCAAAAATGCAAAAACAGAATTAAAAATCGTGAGTCATATTACCTTGCCAAGAGTCACTATTATTGAGCTATATTGACAAGTACACACAAACACATAAATATAAATTATAAGTCGTTGCCAATCTCACCATCTTGCCCATATTTTAGAGGTTGAAAATTCAAACTTCCATTTCCATTTTTTTCAATAGAATTTGCATTCCAACTAACATAGGCCCATAACAACACTTAAAAACAATCATGGACTCATCAAATCATCTATTGAGCCTATTAATTTGGGACATTCCGAAAATTTTCGGGTCGCAACCACAAGCAAGTTATTGAATGAGTGGGAGGTTCTGAAAATACATGCACTTTGTTGGACTTGAACCTACGACATCGAATTTGGAGACCCACTCGAATCAGTTTAATTAATATGATTTTATTAAGGACACATTAATTTGGCAAATGTGAGACTCATTGGTGTATGAGTAGTGAAGAACTATTGAAATTTGTCTTTCGATTTTTTAAATTGTCATCATCAACATATTAATTATTATGGAAGCATCCTAACATTTTGCACTTTCTTTTAATTGAGGCAATTAAATAAAAATCACACTCTATTTTCAAAAAGTCGTTGATGGAAAATTTTTATAATTTATAGGCTTCGTTTTATAACAATTTTATTTTTATATTTTTAAAATTTATGTTTGCTTCCATTCACAAAATTTTTTATATCTATTTTTTTTTTCAATCCAAAGGGACAAATATATTAGAACTTTTTATACAAATGCACAAAATAGAGCTTAAAAGATGAAAAACTATAGTTGATAAAATTTGAAAATAATATTATTCTAAATTGGATGGGTGAAAATTTGACATGTCATTTTTTGGGTCCATCTATATAAACCCTAATTAAATGTATCATAGAAGAGTAAGTCCAATTAAGAAATATCACCATTGTTTTAAAATAAAATATATGGATAAAATTTCAAGTAATTTTTTACTTTTTATTTTTAACGATTTCTAGCTCTTTTTACATTAATATGTCACTTTCACTTCCGAGTAATTTATAAAATTCACATTATTATTATTTTATAGTATTACATTAGCAATAAGTGATTCAAAACTAACAACTCAGACAAAGAGGTACACATGGCAAAAACCACTCGAATTTGAGGCAAAAAAATACATTGTTTTTAAGGATATTTGGATGAATTTCATATTTATATGCAAGCGATAATTTTAACAAATAATAATTTTTATTTACCTTTGCGAATTTTTTTTATTCCTCAAAAAAAAAACATTTTTTATTATACATCACTTATTAAAAATATATATATATACACTGATCTAATTGTTAATAATAATAATAATTTATTTATCTTTTTTATTAATGAATTTTTTATCCTTAACGGTATATTAAATAATATCAAAAATCAACTAATATATGAATTGTCAAGTAAGAGCAACGGAAGAAAATTGATTAATTAAATTTGGATATATATGTTGTTTATGCAAGGATATGCACAACAGCGTATTTCAGATTGCAGCTCGAACTCGGCCTGCGGACCGACCTGAACACTTGAGCGGACCTGCACAAAAAGGTGAGCACTCCGACGATCAAGTCAGTATAGGTCGGATTCCCAATTTAGTTCGAGGCTAGAAATCATCGTACCTGATCGTGGAGTGAAGTCCTCTACTTATGGGTGGTAGTCCCGCTAATCTCGCAACGGTTACACCCGGTAATCTCGGGATTGTCGATTACACCCGGTAATCTCGGGACCGACGATTATGCTCGATAATCACGCCGCTGACAGTAGTTCGCATCGGCCCCCACCGAGCTTCCCGGTAGGTCGGACCTTGGCCAGGTTCACCTCGGCCCTCATACTTAGCGTCTGTCAACGCTAGTAGTGGTGATCTCGGCCGTCCGAGCTAGGCATAACTCATGAGTCATCTTGGAGCACTAGTAGGGGTCCTCCACGTGTCCAGGATATTCTCTTCCCCAAACATATGTATTAGTCAACAATTTTTACCATCAATAACTTGTTTGAACATCCATTCAAAAAATATAAGTAAATACTTGTTTGATCAAGATATATCATTCATTATTTCATGAGCTGTTATATTTGTTGATAGGCCAAGTATTTAATTTCGTTTATAAGTGTAATTTCATTTTCAAGATTTCTAAGCTTTTCATTTAAGTACGTCTCACCATTCTATTAAATATTTAGGACCACTAATTAAATAATGTTTTAGTTTCCTTATTTTTTCTATTATAAATATCGTATATCTAGTCTGCACTATTATTCTTATTTTTTTAATTTTCCTTTTGTATCTCAAATTTTTCTTTTTTTGATAGGAACTATTATCAAAAAAAAAATAATAATAATAAAGTGGGTAAAAATAACAAAAGAATACAAAACTAATTTGTTGATAAATGATAATTGGGTAAATTGCAAAAACCACCCCTAAACTATAATAGTTGTTGCAAATACACCCACAAACTTTTATTTGCTAAAATTAAACACTCCAACTTAAATAATGGTTCCAATTAAACCTGTCTGTTAGTTTGGTTAACTTTCGGTTAACTTCTCCTTTAAAAAACAAACTCATCTTTTAAAAAATAAAATAAAGCCTTACGTAACAATTTTTCGTGGAGTGAGGGAGGAAACTAAGAATTTTCAAGATTGGAGGAAGATAAAAGGCAAAATCGATTCTAAACAAGATCACTACTAATTGGATTCCAGTTTCGATCATAATATATATGCTCGGCTTGGGAGTGTTCTGTAATACAGAATCGAGTATCATCTTCTTAAATTTTCTCATTTTTATAATTTTGGCTGTAGAGTTTTGAACCCGACCGGGTTTTGATCTTTTCATTCTCAATTTTATTGTTAATCACTTGATATTATAGCAAAAATGGAGATGGAAGGTTCCTGAAATTTTTGTGTGTATTCGCTTAGGGATGTTCATATGTGGAAGTAGATGGAACCACTCTTTTTTTAATACTGAAGAAACCTCACAAAATTAGTTTTTGTCTATCAGCGTCATGACATTGTTTATGCACGATTCTTGTCATTCAAGTTGAATTAGTTTTGTTTGAGAAAAATCTGAAACCTGTATTTTGAAAAAAATTATCTCTGATGAATTTTTCTTACGAAGGAATGAACTGTAATTTTACTATTGATGGATCGAGAAACTTGTTCTCATGCAAGATTCCGTGCTTTAAACGTTCTTGAAATTTTTGAGTTGAATTTTAGTCTTGTTTTATTATTTTATTTCCATTACCTTTATAGAGGACTCAACCTAGTTGACAATTGTTAAATTTTGAGTTACTAGTAATTAGGTCATTTTTTTTTTCAATTTTATTCTTAATTTTGTTTCACCAATGAGTGCAAATGCAACATGTATCTTATTTAGTGAACTTAATGCAGATTATAGTTGAATCTTGAAAACAAGTTAAATTGTCACTGATAGTTATGTGCACTATATTTTTTCTCATGACTTTCAGCATCCTATTTTTTTTAACTTATTATCAATTTGAAGCAATGTATGTGGAGATCTATGGTTTTGTTTACTTGTCTTCTCTAGTCTTGTAAAAGTTGGAAATATTTTCTACTAAATAGTTCATTTTTGTTTCTTTCTTTCTTGTCTAGGTTAGAGTACTTGGACAAGTCTTGGATGATGGTAGAGTTCTTGATACATTCTGCCCACATCATTTGATCCAAACTAAAAATTTTCATAGCACATCATTTTTAGGGGGTCGTACTTGTGAAGTTAATGGTTGATGCTTGTAATGTCGTAAATCAAATGACGAAGAAAGATTTGAAGATTTTAAACTTATAAAAAGGCTATTTGTAGTACTTTGCATCATTTTAATAACTATATATGTATTATAAACATTGTTGGATATTTGAGATAATATGGGAATTGTAAAATGGCACAGATGTAAATTGAAAGGATGGTGATTGTTAATTTTTACTTAGATCCATTGAGATTTATGGTAGGAGTTTAGAGCTGAGACCACAACAATTTCAAATATCAAGTAAAAGAGCAGTATGTTCGTAGCATAAGATATGTGTTATTAAAATGGGAAAAATTGATTTACAATCCATGTTGAAGTTGGCATGTAGATTTCATTTTGAAATCTAATATATATACATGATTTTTTGAGTAATTACAATATGTCTTACATCAAGATTGTTTTGATAATATTGTTGCAATAACATAGGTTCATTACAAATTATCATTTGCTCGTATACCCCATTCTGTACTCTCTAATATGCACATGGAAAGTGAACTGTTTGCAAGCATGTACACAAAATTTCAATGAACATATACAAAAAAAATTTGAAGGAGCATTTACACAAAAAGAACCTAGCATTTCCAAAAGACTCCTACAATGTCATCCAAGAGAACATTGGTACAAGCGTCAACACTCATAAAAAATAGCACGATTATCCAAACATCTTTATAAGCATCAAACACCCATCAAAAACAGCACAATCAAACAATCCCTGACAAAAAAAAAAAAAAGAACAAAAAAAAGTTTGGTATAAGCAAAAAAACCCATAAGAAGTAACACAATTAGATAAAAAGTAGGATCGATACATTATTGTCACATAAAAAATAGCACAATTCTTACCTAAACCAAAGTTAGTTTGTGCTTCCATGTTTACTCACAAACCCATCATGGAAGATTTTCTCCTAATCTGAAACATAAGGAAGGACAAAAAAAAAAGACAAAAATGCTTTATTTCATATTAAACATTCCAGAACAAAATGATAGGTTGAATAACAAAATCGGAACTTACAGGAAGTTTAGAAGTTGATGATTTTCCTTTGACTTGGCCTTTGCAAGATCTAATATTATGGCCATTTTTTCCACACCTACTGCATTTCATAACAGTGTACTTCTTGCTAATTTTAGTAGACTTAGGTGGCTCATCAGAATCTCGTTTTCGCTGTTTCTTTGGTCTCCCAGGTAATTTTTTAATATATGGGGGAAGGATAGGTTTCATTTCAGTATTAGGCCAAAGATCTACTCCATTAATTGGTTGAATATAGTGAGAGTAGGTAATATCAAAAGTTTGTTTATGAAAATACCTATGCACATAATCTTTGGAGTCTTTCCTCATGAACCAAATACATTGAATGGAGTGAGCGCACGGTATTCCTGTCAAATCCCATCTATAGCAAGTACATGTATGCATATTGAGGTCTACTATGAACTGTTTCCTCCCATCTTTTACCTCAAATCTTTCAGCACCTGAAAGCCTGGGAGACCAATTGTTAGAAAGTTGTTTGGCTCTTTCTAACTTAGCTTTAACTTTTGGTGTAATCTTTCCCTCCCATTTTGCTAAGACCTCTCGCTTTTTATGAACTCGAGACATAAGGTTTTTCTTAATCACTTCGAACATAGTAAGAATTGGCTTGCTCCTAGCCTCTAATATATAGGAATTAAAGGACTCGCTTATGTTATTAAGCAGCATGTCACTTGTGATTTAAATGCATGTCTTGTCCAAAGTTTGGTAGGAACTGCATTGAGCCAATCAAAAACTGTCTTATCCAAATGGGCAAGTCTTTTCATTATTTTGTCAAACGATGATTTTGTTGTTGCCTTAGCTGCATCCCATAACGCATCTTTGTACATCTTACTTATTAAGAAATTATCAACCACAGTTCAAACTTTTAATATGATGCAAATAATTATGAGATCAATATACAACAATTTTCTTAAACAAGTAGCTAGTCTCATGAATTTTGGCTTAACCAACTCTTATACAACCCTAATAACAATCAAAATAAGACCACAAGGCACACATTGTCCATACATGTCTCCTTATGTATAAAGGTCATTCTTAAAACTATAAAGCTATATCACACTGCCCACAACAATATATGTAGGGGCTCCAACCATTAAATACAAATAAAACAGATCGAAATGTATTTATATAAATAACTTACCTTTGAAATGTTTCTTGAAATTACCATACAAATGGCATACACAAATCCTATGTTCAGCGTTAGGAGCCACTTTCTCAATGGCGGGAATTAAACCCTAAAATAGAAAAAATTAAAAATATTACCATAAACTAGCAAAAAAAAAATCAACACAAAAAAATCTCATTTAATATAAATAAATCTTACCTTTTGTTGATCAGTCATAAACACCCATCTATTTTTTTCTACTGGTCCTATATAATCAAGTAGATTTTCTAAGAACCAAGTCCAAGATTCCTTCGACTCCACATCTACTACAGCCAAAGCTAATGGGAAAATCCCTTCATTCGCATCTATTCCCACAGCAGTCAACAATTGCCCTTGAGTTGTAGTCTTCAAATGACACCCATCTAACCCAATTATTGGTCTACAGCTTTGTAAGAACCCATTTTTACATGCTGTGAGACAAATATACATGCTTTTAAAGATAGGTTGCATATGAATTTGACGTCTATCCACACTTAGTAAATAAGAACTATCCGGATTAGATCTCCACAATTCCTCACAGTAGTCTCGTAGTTTGGCATATTGCATCTCAACTGTGCCTTCAAGCTTATGCATTGCAATCTTCCTTGCTCTATATGCTTGATGTCTTGATATGTTAATATTAAAGTCCTTTCTCACAAGATCTACAATTGTTTTCCAATCCTTTTCCAGTTGAGCCCTAAATCTATCAAAGTAGTGCTTAGCAAGCCAACTAGTCGTTGCATGCTTATTGGTTGTCTTTCTAGTGTGTACTATATAATGACTTAATTTGGTACGTACACTCATCTTGTCTATTAGAAGCATGCAACCTCCAATTGCACCCATCTTGACATCTCACTGTAACCCTTTCAGGTTCATTTTTCTGGTAAATCAATTCATGTCCAGATCGTAAGGAATATTCTCTTATTGCATCTCTCAATTCAGTTAATGTTCCAAATTTCATCCCTAATGTAAATTCTATGTTATCCTTCAACATAGAAGGATGAAACTCAACATACTTTTGTGATCCCTCGACAACATCATCATCAGATTGAATGGGTGAGTTTAGGTGACTAAATGAACCACATTCAGAATTACACAATTCTTCATTCTCTAAATGTAAACCTACACCACCATCTCTTAAGTTTAACCCCACACCATCAAACTTTCCAATAAACAATTCGTCATCATCTTCTCCATCATAATCAAGGTTTAGTAGTTCTTCTATGTGCATTCCTCTATCGCTACTACCACAAATATCATCTAATTGTAAACTATTATGTGTCTCTTTTATGGCAATAGGTGTTTCTGCAATCACTTCAACATCCATAAAGCTTTCTCCTTCATCAAAAATATTGTTAGGGTGCTCTACATATATATGTAGTATTTTCTTAGGAGCAACGCAATTGAACATGTCCAAAATATTCTTATCAGACCACAAAAGTCTTAATCCTCCATCAAAATCCATGTATGGAATTAAAAAGTATATTTTATTCCAATCTAATGCATTTATCTCTCTCAGTCTTTCTTCAATTTTAGGGATAGACATCATATCAGAACTACAATTTTCAAATTTATGTATCGACCCTCTTGTATATGATGTTCTGCCATTGTAAAGAAATCGACCTCCATGATGTAAATACATTGTAAAAAGATATTCTCCCATCTGCATATATTACATATTGTTATGTAACCAACATGCTAAAAAAAATCATCTAAGTAACCAAAATCATAAAAATAAAAACACAAGTCTTTTTTTTCCACTAAAGTTGAGTTTATTTAAAAAAAAAAAAAACTCACTTTGTTCGTATGCCTCGATCTTCTTTTAAGAACTGGAGGACCTAACATATAACAAATAAGCATTCATTAATTATTGTTTTTTGAGGTTTCTTCTATACTAAAAAAAACAGTGGTTTCATCTACTTCCACATATGAACCTCCAAGAGTGAACACACAAAAAAATTTCAGGAACCTTCTATCTCCATTTTTGCTATAATATCAAGTGATTAACAATAAAATTGAGAAGGAAAAAATCAAAATCTGGTCGGGTTCAAAACTTTGCAGCCAAAATTATACAAAGGAGAAAATGTAAGAAGATGATACTCGATTTTGTATTACTTACCATTGAACACTCCCAAGCCGAGCATATATATTATGATCGAAACTGGAATCCAAGTAGCGATCTTGTTTAGAAACGATTTTGAAAACTCTTCATTTCCTCCCTCGCTCCACGGAAGAACATTGTTAAGCTTGATTTCTGTAACTTTGTTAAGCTTGCTTTATTATATTTTTTAAAAGATCAGTTTGTTTTTTAAATGAGAAGTTAACGAGTTAACGGAAGGTTAACCTAACTAACAGAGAGGTTTAATTGGAACCATTATTTAAGTTGGAGGGTTTAATTTTAGCAATTAAAAATTTGTGGGTGTATTTGCAACAACTATTATAGTTTATGGGTGGTTTTACAATTTACATAATTGGAAATTTGAAATAATAAATTCAAAGAAAAAAAAAAGTCCTTAGCTTAAATATCTCTCAGTTCCCTTTTTTTTCTCTCATTTTCTCTCCCCACTCTTCCCATTTTGGGAGGAATTCTCCGGCTCTGCGAATGATTTGTTATTCTCTCCCCAACTCTGAGCCTTTCTCCAAATTCTTTCTCGAGTCTCTTTTACTTTCTTCCTGATTCTCATCAACATATCTCACACAGCAGATTGATGGTGGATCAAGGTAATTAAATTTTTTTATTTTTCACTCTTACTCTCCCGTCCCTCACTCTCACAAATCTTCTTCCAGGAGCAGACAATAAAATATTGAGAAAAAAATCCTGAGATTCACCAATTTTCTTTTGTTACTATTTTAGATTTGTTTTAAAAGAAGATATTATTTTCTAAAAAATTACAATCTTCTAGTTGATGCAAACTGTCATTATTTCTCTTCATTCTTCATATTTATTTTACAAATCTAGTTGAACTCACCATTCAAATATTTGAAATTTTTCATATTTTCATTACCTTTCAAATTGCAAAAATGCTTGCTCTGAATTAATATTGTATAGGAGAGATTAATTTAAGGAATTTCATGTGATCATTTAGCTATATTGTTAGACCTAAGTAATTATTGCAATATTTTGTGTCAACTTTTTCTTATTATTTTATTTAATTATTACATTTGATCTCATTCTATATTTAATTTGCATGCTTAATTGTTCAACCTAAAGTTCAGGAAATTTCACATGAATTTTGGATATTTGGTACGGATAGATATATATTTGAATGTACATGTTGGTTTCATTTGATTTTTAATTACTAGATCACAGGGAATATCTAATTTATTTTTTAATGGTTTTTTTAGTAATTAAGTAAAAATAGTAAATCAACTCTCTCTAACAAAATTTGAAAATAAAAAAATAAATCATAAATCAAAGAAAATAAATATTTATTTTTCGATATTTAGTAAATCTTTTCTTTATGGTTTTCTTTTTATTTTTTTTAAATGTTATAAATTCATGAAATCCCATCACTATAAAATTAATTTCGCATGAAATTAATTTTATATCTAAATGCAGTTACTTATGTTTATTAATTCATTTACCCTTATATATTTTAGTCTAGTTTTTATTTCCCAATAAAATAGGGAAAGTAATGCTATGTATAATATATTCATTCCAGTTTCTGCTATATATAAAATAGTTTTCCTTGTACATCAAGGTTTGCATATTTTCTCTTTACAAATTTTGTAATTTTAAGCTCGTTTGATGATGTTCTGTTTTTTTTTTTCTCATTTCAAATTTTCGAGAAACATAAATGTTTGGCAACTGTGTTTCATTTCTAGAATGGCTAGAATTTTTTTTCTGGTTTCTTTTCTATTTTTTTCCAAAACATAGATAAAAAATATTATTTTATAATTTTCAACTTTAAATAATAAATATCAAAAAATAATTATAACATACAAATTTTGAATATTTAATTTGAAATTTTAATTTTCTTATAAAACTTTTACTTTTGTTATTAAAATGTTAGAGACGAAAAAAAATTAAGAAATTGCGAAACTTGATTATGTTTCTTTTTTTTTTTCCAATAAAATGAAAGAATAAAAAAAAATTAAAAAGCAGTTAGCAAGCATAATTCTTTCTTGAAAAAGTGAGAAACAATGAACTAGAAATAAAAACATTGTCAAATAGCTTTTTGCGATTATGCAGTGGTGAGGTAGCTAGGTTATGTTTGTCTTGTTCATAGTAGTTTTTAATCCGGGTGGAGCTAAAAACTTTCATGAAAAATATAGTTAATATGTTATTTTTATTTGTTTTTAAATATGTATTTGATAGAAGATTTAGAATCTAAAAATACTAAAAATATCTAAATGATGTTTTCAAAATTATTTTAGTCATGCAGTTTAAATATATGATAAGATATCTATTGTAATGTTAGAAGACTACATAGTCTCATAATAGTCTCATAATTGGAGTGAACTAATATAATCCTTGTGGTGTTAGCTTTTCATTCTTTATCTCTTATACCTTTAATATTATTACTTACTTGATTGTTTTTATCCTGTGGTGTGAGAAAATCAAATTGTTCATGTATGAAAAACTTATAGAAAGATCGATTGATTTATATTTTTCTCACATCATCCACGATATGAAAAAAAAAAAAGAAAGAAACATTTTAGACAATACTGAAACCACACTTATTTATTAAGTAATATTACAATACATACACCCAAATACATTTGTAGTACATGCATTGAGTTCATGTGTGGATAAGCAAACTCAATAGAACACCGTCCATTGCTGACCGTTACCCTTATCAGTTGCAGAAGATAAAACTATCTTCTTGAGATAGACGTCATTTTGCGCCACATCCATCACCGCTTCATATCCAGGGTTCGAGATTGTGCCTTGTGGTGTGAAAACCCAGCGTTGGTTGATTGACCCATCACACCTACGAATGACGATGAGTTTTGATGAGCTATCGGTAGAAGAGCTCACACACAAATTGCGGTTATTATTCACTCGAATAGTGTCATCACTATAAAGTGCCCAATATTGCTTTGTCTTATTCTTCACACAACTCTCCAACCACACGTTGGTATCATTATCCGTAGCTTCCAAACACATGTGTCGAAGTCCTATGATGGTTGTTACAATTGGTTCCACATAGTTTCCAATTCTCCAAGCTTGCTTAGCAGCAAATACGTTGTTCTCCCCCGTTAAGTTCGTGCGACTTGTAGCTGCATTTGCTGTCAACACAAGGTGAGAGGATTTGTTCATCATTGTCCCAGAACTCGAAACCATCCATCCGTCGTCGTAGCGAAGGTAATCACAATTCGTAATCACTACATTGCTTCCGGAGCTTAAGGCACTGGTCGCCAAGCATTTTCCTAAGGATCGAATTGTGTTGTCTGGATAAAACGTCCATTGTTGATTTTGTTGTTGCCCACATGGATACAAAATCACACGAGAACCATCAGCTGTTAATGCACCATATACATCAACACACAATCCATCTCGACCGCTGATGCGTGTCGTGCGCTGTTGTGGAGAGCACTGTTCATTGTTTTGGTTTGGCATAGTTATTGTAGGCATCATCCTTATAACACCATATGGGCATTGATAAAGTTGAAAAGCCATGTTTGCAGTGAGGATTGGGTAATACATGCTGTCCACTCCAATGGGTTCGTCCATGGAGTTATAAAGTGACACAGAATCGCCAAACACTCCATTCAGAGACTCTGATGCTTGGAGTTGCAAAGAAAGTTGTGTCCAGTTTTCCTCCAAGCTCAGCATTGCGAGGCCAGGAGTGAAGTCTTCCATATCCATTATGCTATGGATAACTTTCTGCTCGATGAACTTGAACTTGGCAGCTTCCAACACCATTTGGATCAGCACAAGAAACGAGGTAGGGACGTAGTTTTCATCATGCACGAACAAGTGGAAGATGCTTGCCTCGAAATGCATGATTCCAAGGGGAGTTTCAGATCTGGTTGTGCCACCGACGATTTCTATAGATTCGAAGGTATTGTTGAAATTCATGATGTTTTGATTGGTGTCAGTGAAGATAACGTACGAAGCTATCGGCGGAGCGTTTTGGAAAAAATAGGATCGGTCAGCTGCACGATATGCTGCGAATCCAGCATCCTCCACGTTTATTGCCAGAGTGATGGTTTCGTTGTCTCCATTGGTGAGATCCACGAGAAGGAAGCGTTCGCAAATTGGCACTGAGTGTTTCAAAATGGGAATTCCTGCTGATCCATAAGAGGCACCAATGGTGAGTTGCTTGCGTAAGTTCTTGATGAAGCTTTTGTAAGTATCAGCGGAAAAATTTGACTGTGATAGACTCAGATTGCACTCAATGCCATTAATGGTGAGGGAAAGAGCAACTACAATGTAAACGGCTAACACTCTCATTCTCATCTTTATTGAAATTGTGTTCTACAAGGATGGCATCAAAGCTTGACCTTTTATAGAAATTTCAAACTCGTTCACAATTTAGGAGTTGAAATTAAAATTATATTCTTTTCATTAAATGTCGTTTTCAATTGAAATACCATACAAACCTTTGTATTTTATAGACAAAAGAAATTCACAGGTGGCCACCCTCTTTACAAATGTGTGAAACAACCAAGTATATTACAATTGTCAAGGTGCATATAAGATCCTAGACATTAACAAATAAAAATAAACACAAATGTAATTAATTATTGTTCTGTCTTCTACAACCTAAATGCTCTAAATTAATATTGTATAGGAAGATTAATTTTCCACGTTTAAGAGTATTAATATTGTATAGGAGAGATTAATTTTCCACGTTTATTATATAGAAGAAGGAATTTCATGAATCATTTGGTTGTATTTCTGCAGATAACTAATTTCACATATATGTGTGAAATATCTCATTGCAATATTTTGTTTCAACTTTTTCTTATTATTTTATTTAATTATTACATTTAATCTCATTCTATATTTAATTTGCATGCTTCATTGTTCAACCTACAATTTTAATTTGCATGCTATATTGTTCAACCTACAAATTAGATAAGTATAAGAAATTTCACATGAAATTTGGATATTTGATACGGGTAGATATATATTTTAATGTAAAAGTTTGGTTTCATTTAATTTTTAATTACTAGATCACATGGAACATGGAAGATCTAATTTATTTTTTTATGAATTAATTTTTTCTTGTAGTAATTAAGTAAAAATAGTAAATCAACTTCGATCTCTTATAAAATTTGAAAATAAAAAATAAATCAAAAATCAAAGAAAATAAATATTTACTTTTCGATATTTAGTAAATGTTTTCTTTGTGGTTTATTTTTTTTTTTGTTAAAATTTTATAAATTCATGAAATCCCATCACCAAAATTAATTTCACATTAAATTATTTTTATATTTAAATGCAGTTACCTATGTTTATTAATTCATTCACTTATATATTTTAGTCTACTTTCTATTTCCCGGGGAAAACAATGCTATGTGTAATTCATTCCAGTTTGTGCTATATATAAGGTACTTTTTCTTATACACCAGAGGTTGACATGTTTTCTCTTTACAAATTTTGTACTTTTAAGCTCGTTTGATGTTCCGTTTCTTTTTTTTCATTTCAAATTTTCGAGAAACACAAATTTTTGGTAATTGTGTTCAGCCTGTTTTTCATTTCTCATTTTCAGAGACATTTCTAAAATTGCTAGAAATTTTGAAAAAAAAAATTAAAATTTCTTGTTTTTTTGTTTCTTTTCTAGTTTCTTTTTTTCAAAACATAGATAAAAAGACATTATTTTATAATTTTCAATTAATAAATAATAAATATAAAAAATAAATGTGACAAATTTTTTAATATTTAATTTGAAATTTTAATTTGCATAAAAAACTTTTACTTGTGTTATTAAAATGTTAGAGACAAAAAATTAAGAAATTACGAAACATGATTTTTTTTTCCAATAAATGAAAGAATAAAAAAAATAGAAAAACAGTTAGCAAGCATAATTCTATTTTTGTTGATTGAAAAAGACCGAACAACGAACCAGAAACAAAAACATTGTCAAAGAGCTTTTTGCTGTTCGGTTTATCCTGGGAGCCCACAACTTTCATGAATAATATAGTTAATATGTTATTTTATATTTGCTTTTTAATATGTATTTGATAGAAGATTTAAAATCTTAAAATACTAAAAATATCTAAATGATGTTTTTAAAATTATTTGAGTCACGGAGTTTGAATATAGGGTAATAGTTCATGTGTGAAAAAACTTACAAACATTTCAGACAACACTCAAACCACACTTATTTATTAAGTAATATTACAATACACACACCCAGATACATTTGTAGTATATGCATTGAGTTCAAGTGTGGATAACCAAACTCAATAGAACACCACCCATTGCTGACTGTTAGCCTTATTAGTTGCAGAAGATAAAACGATCTTCTTGAGATAGACATCATTTTGCGCCACATCCATCACCGCTTCATATCCAGGGTTCAAGATCATGCCTTGTGGCGTGAAAACCCAGCATTGGTTGATTGACCCATCACACCTACGAATGGCGATTAGTTTTGATGAGCTATTGGTAGAAGGTGCGTCAGTTCTGATTCTTGTTCACTCGAATAGTGTCATCACTATAAAGTGCCCAATTGTTTGATCAAAGAATGACCAAGTCTCCAAGCTTCGGATCGGCAAGGACGAGCTAGACTGAGAGCTCTAGATGCCGTGCATATGACCTGCAAAATAGAGTAGAAACTCTGATGCTAAAGTCAATAGGCATCAAAGTCAACTCGAGAGAGAATTAGTTTGATCGCGTACATGGAAATGGAGCGAAATGGTCGTATTTATAGACAAGGTCCCCGACAAGGCTTCAACGGCTCTTTAAGGTTGCCGTGAAGTGCGGCGTGATAGCGAGGAGTCTGTCAAAGTATAAGCTGAGCCGAAGTAGTCCAAGTAACATATTTGGTCGGCTTGACCATCATATATGGTCGGCTCGGCATGAGAACTCATGGCCAAGGTAAACATACTAGCGCGGGACGACACGTATATTGCTGAGCATCCAACCATAACATGTCGCGTGTAAGTTGAGAATTCACCTCCAACATTGGCCCCTATTGTGATGAGGCACCTTGTCAGTTCAGCTCAGTGTTTTCGTGGAAGGAGATGACCCGCAAGTCATCCGAACAAGACAACTGGAATATGAAAGGTGGAGCTGATGTGTGATGACGTCATAAACAGCTATCTTTTAGCGGATTTGATATAGGTCTTTGATTTCAAAATAGATGGACGGCTGAGATGAGACTCCCATTGTCTATAAATAGGGAGATTCATTTCTTGAATCCTTCGAATTCTCTCAAATTCTCTCTGACTCTAGAATTTCCTCGGCTCAGCCAACTTTATAGGTCAGTTTTCTTGTTCAGTTGTCATGAGCAAGTCGTCTTCGGAATCAGGTAGAATAATTTTCAGGGTTTGTAGTGGTCAGGTCGAGGGTAGCTTAGAGCCTGCAGTAGAATCGTCGTCTAAGGCAGAGCCGAACCCTAATATGGAAGGAAATGTAGGTGCTTCTACGTCTGGTTGAGTCGAGCAGTGTCTCGAACTTCCTCCCTCTATTTGCTTTAAGGCCGACCTGTCCAAACTTAGGGAAGCTAGCACCGAATAGGTGGACGAGTGTCTGGCTGACCCTCCTCCTCGATGGGTCGGCTTCTATCCCCAAATGTTTGACCGGGGGTTAGGTTGCCTCTGCACCCTTTTGTATAAAAATTTATTTCAGCTATCAATCTGGCCCCAACTCAGCTAGCACCGAATGGGTGAGACACTCTGCTCGACTTGTGGTTCACCTGTTGGAGCTTTAGCATCGAGGACGAGAGTTTTACTTCTAGATGTAGGACAATTCTTCGCCGACCACATCATCAAACCTTACAACTAGTATCCGGGTCGGTATTACATATCGGCTCGGAATAGCTTCTACAAAATTGTGGATTCTCCCTCAGCCAATAAGCACTAGTGTGATAAATGGTTCCTAGTCTTGGGTGACTGGATCGTCACGAGGAACAGACAACCATTTTTCGAAGTACCTAGTGAGTTGGGAGAGTTAGTTACGTACACGTCGGGTCAGTTAATAAAGGGAGCTCGGCTCATGCACCATTCTTTTTTGCCTTGCATATTTCATTATTTTGACCTGACACTTTGCCTGTCCAGCTATACCTCGGCCTGCACCTCGGATAAGGAAGAATCTGAGGAGATCAGGAGCCGAATCATCTGTGACAAGATCTTGTACAAAGGTCTCCTTGACAACGTCAACCTTCATCAGTGCGGATTGTCTCAGCTGGAGCCCAATCGAGCTTGTCGCCTCGAAATCATAGTGTCTAAACTATACAACTCTATGAACCGAAAGCGTTCCACCAACCGACCTACAGCTGGTGATGCTCCTAAAAAATGTAGGAGGTCAGACGGGACTGTCAGAGCCTCTGTGGGGTCTTATCGGGCTGTCCGAGCCGACCCATTGCAAACCATGTTGCCTTTCCAGTCGTTTGGACGAAGGAGCCATTCTTCTGACCCAAAGGGGAAGCGATTCTTCGAGGCTTTGTCTCGTTCACCCACAAGGCCGATCGACATTCACTCAGAAGATGAGATCAAACCCCAATCTCTATTGGTGATGGACTTTCCCTATCCCTTCCAAGGTAGCTTTGCTGGGGAGAGTGTTCGTGAGGCTGCCCTGACAGCCTACAAGGCCAGCTCGGCTCAGATGCTGGAATCAAGCCAGACTTCCTTCTTGGTGAAATCAAGTGATTATGTGCAATGTCTAATTGACAACCTTGCTCGTCTCCATTTCACGGCCTGCCATACCGAGGCCATTGTCAGCTAGGAGTTGACCTTTAAGAAGGTCAGCTTCACTAGTTAGCGCGAAGCTGCCAAGCAGACCGAGGAGCTGAAAGCTGAAATGGTGAAGATTTGTAAGGAAGTGGATGAGCTAAACAAGACCATCACCTTTCAGGAAAATCTGCTGAGTCAAGCTCAAGTCGACATCCGGACCATGGAGGCTCAGACTAAGGCGGCTGAGCAACGCGTTGACAAGGAGGTGGCCTAACGTGCTTCTAAAAAGGCCGACTTTGAAGCAAATTTGGAGAACTTCGACTTCTTGGAGTCAGCCATGATGAAACTTCCTGACTTTGATGATCTGGTTCAGGACTTGGCTGACAAGGGCTTCGACATTGTCGTGGTCGAAGTCGAACTTGGCCCCTACATATGCAGCCTTCGAGGCAGCTATGGAGGAGGATAAGGAAGGGGAAGCTGAAGTTGAGGTCCCTATTGCCGAGGGTAACGGAGGGGACGCGAATGCCTGAGCTGAGGAGGCTGCTCTTATTTCTGAAATTTCTCGTTTTGTAACGGGTTGAAGCGTATGTGCTTCGGCTCGGTTTTGTAATGAAACTCTTAGTTGTAATGAAACACGTTTACTTCAATTAATGAAG